TAATAAATATAGATTTCTTATCTATATCTATATTAATAATTAACTATAATAAAAAAAATAAAAAACAAATATATAAAAAAAATAACTACCCATTCAAATTGGGTGGGAGTAGTTGCAAGTTGGAATTTTTAAATTATTTTAAAATCAAAAAGGAAAAAAAAAACTATAAAAAACAGAAGAAAAACTACCCATTCAAATCGGAGAATAGTTTCAAATTGGAGTTTAAAAATAATTAAAATAAAAAAAGATATCTTATAATTAACTATAATAAAAAAACGAAAATATAAATATATAAGAAAATAACTACCCATTCAAATTGGTAGTTATTTTTAATTAATAATTAGTTATTGGTTATTATTTTTGAATTTAAATATATATAAAAACAAAAATAAAAAAAATATAAAACTACCATATATATGAATATATTCATATATATATATATATATATATATATATATTAATTGATTACTTTAGTTGAATTAATAAATATAGATATAATTAACTATATAAAAAATGAAAATATAAATATAAAAAAAAACTACCCATTCAAATTGGGTGGGAGTAGTTTCAAGTTGGAGTTTTTAAATTATTTTAAAATAAAAAAGCAAAAAAAAAAAAATTCAATAGTAATAAATTATATATCTTCTTATATATTACAAAAAGAAAGCGAATACTAAATATTGTTTAATATAATAAAGAAAAATAGAACAAAAAAGTTATTCACTGACTATATAAGTACGTTTGATTTAATAGAGATTTCATTATTGGGTATATCGTATTGACAAACAAGATGACAATTGAATTTTATTAAAGCAATACTATCTAATAGGATCAAACAAGCCTGATCATAATTTAATTTAATTAATATTTTTTTAATATTGACCGCGCATTGCGCGGGTACGACTACTAGTTAGTCATTGAAAAGACAAATAACCATAGATTGTTATGAATAGTTTGTACATTGGATGCTATATTGGATGTCCATGTTGTAAATAACTTAAAGATTAAATCTCTTATTTTATGTCCATCATCTTTACTTTTTATGCCTATAAAAGGTCATGTAATTGCAGTAGAAAGATACACCAAAGTGAAAGAAGAAAACACTTCTCCCTTCTTTCTATATCTTCTTATTTACATTTTACTGTATTGCTTTTATTTTATAATACGTTATCAGCACGAAACTCTAATTTTATTCTTAACTCCCGCTAAGTTGAGCCATATTTTATTAAGGTATGTATCATTATAATCATTTTATTTATGGCAGTACATACCATATGCTCATTGTTTGCAGATTACTTGTGCGCTTGGGCATCTTAAATAGTTTAAGTACATTGCAGTGATAAAATAACTATTTCCTTCCGTGCTCAACTCTTAGAGGACCTCAAAGTCATCAAACTAGCTATGCACTAATGTCATACTTATAATATTCATGGACTCCCT